CTCATACAATCCTAGCAGTAATACCGCACATCGTCACTAGGAGGCGAGGAGTCGAGGCGTCGAGATAACCGAGATAAGTGTGACGTGTGAACGGTCGTCAAAACTGAGCTTGGCCTGGTTACCGATCCAAGCTCGGACCGGTCTCGGCCTGGATCGGTTTTTCAAGGGTAGTGTAAATGGGGCTTAAAGCTCACCTTTCTCACCGCCGTTCTTTAAAAATGGCCGAGGGTCGTAAGAGAAAGTGTCTACGAAGTTTATGAGAAGAAGAGAAAGGGCTCAGAATAGAGAAACAAATCAGGGTGTTTTTGGGAGATTCTTTCACGCTAATGCGTACATTTAAAGCTCAGGTCAGGCACTGATGCCTCGGTTACAAAGTTTTTACTCGACAGGTAAAGTTTGGCGAAATGCATTTCACATCACTGCTAGTAAAAGTTATCTACCTCTATATATTTTTTAACTTCTTTTGTAATTTGCTTCGTTAGTTGTCAAATCGCGGCCACAGATCCTTTTTTACCCTGCAAACATGTCCAAATTTCCACTGCCGCACACACACATACAAGCATGTCATGATTTATTTGAAGTACCAGAAGTCTTTTTTTGCGGGGAAACATTTTATATATAGATATGGGTGAGAGGAGATCTATCCGAATGACCATCTTATCATTGCGTACGTCCCCACGCATCCTCCAGGAGAAATGGGCGCTCTTGCACGTGTTTAGTGGGTGTTTCCTCTCGGGAGAAAGTAAAGGGTTGTGCATGTGCGCTTTTTTTGTGTTTTTTTTTTAATGGGGACGGCGGGTCTTTTAAAATTTTATGGAAAATCCTCCACCATACCTTTAAATAATCCAGAGTCTGGCTATTTAGAGCCCTGCAGGCAAAGACAGGGATTTTAAAACAGACTCTGAAATCAGTAGAGATCCAGTGTAAAAATGTAAGACTGAAGAGAAATGGGAGAATTCACTTGACTTAAAAGGTCTCCAAAGCTATGAAATATGGCCTAACAGTAGGCTATACTGGATCAATGAAGAGAAAAAGATCAACCTTTCCTCTAAAATCCTTTTATATTATATGAGGATATTCTACTGCCACTTTTTGTAAAACTATAGAATTGTCTTTACTGCAGAAGTTAAAAACTTAAAAGTGGTTTGAATTGGATGTAAATGTTCTTTTTTATCTTTTAGGAAGGAGAGACGCCGCTTATTAAAGCCACAAAAATGAGGAACATAGAGATAGTGGAGCTGCTGCTGGATAAAGGAGCCAAAGTGTCTGAAGTGGACAGGGTACCGTTCAGCAAACACTAAAGCATTATTACATGGAGTCTGTTTAGTCCTGCAGTAAGCGTGTTTCTGTCCAGAAAGGAGACACCGCCCTCCACATCGCCATCCGTGGACGGAGCCGAAAGTTGGCCGAGCTGCTGCTTAGGAACCCAAAAGATGGCCGCCTCCTGTACCGCCCCAACAAAGCCGGGGAGACGCCGTACAACATCGACTGCACCCACCAGAAAAGCATCCTGACGCAGATATTCGGAGCCAGTGGGAACCGTCTTTTCAATTTGAAAGCTAAAGTCCTCCCTGCTGTTGGGAGACTGAACCTTTTTCCTCTTCTCTCTCAGAGCACCTCTCCCCGACCGAATCGGATGGAGACATGCTGGGATATGACCTGTACAGCAGCGCCCTGGCTGACATCCTCAGCGAGCCCACCATGCAGCCGCCCATCTGCGTTGGCCTGTACGCCCAGTGGGGCAGTGGAAAATCTTTCCTCCTTAAAAAGCTTGAGGGTGAGTAAAATCAATAAATCCTCCTGAGAGTTTTATTAAACAATTGGCCTTATTGTTTTGTTTCTTTCCTCATGTTCGTCAGATGAGATGAAGACCTTTGCAGGCCAGCAGATCGAGCCTCTGTTCCAGTTCTCCTGGCTCGTGGTCCTCCTGGCGCTGCTCCTCTGTGGCTCGGTGGCCATCGTCCTGGGTTTTACCGTTGATCCCAAGCTGGCGATCGCCGTCTCCCTCAGCCTCCTGGCCCTGCTTTACATCTTCTTTGGTGAGGAGATAAACAAGCTGGAAATGTTGAGTTAGATTCCTTGGACCTGATTATCATATGACATCACAACCACACAGTTTTTTTAAATAAAAGGTTTACAAATGAAGAACTGGTTTAGAGATAAAAATAAAAATGTTAATGCCAGCCAAGAAATGTACACTTTCTCTGTTGTGTTAAGTGTTTAAATCCTTTAACTTGACGTTTCTTCCAAACTTTTCTCTTCATTCAGCATTTAGACGGTGAAAGTGAAAGGGTGTCGCCTCCTTCTACAAATGGCAATGAAATCATTTCTGTCTTGGGTTGAGATAAATAACTGTTTTACAGAATAACCGAGGCAAAAACATATCCAGTAACCTAAATAACAGTACTTGATGTGAATTGTAAGCATTACTAAATGTATCCAATACAAAAGCTAAACACAAATTGGCAGTTTTCAATAACTGTAATCAGTTACTCTGAACTAAACTTAAAGTTTCCACCTAAGTTGCAGTTCTGCAAAATGCTTTGAATTAAACATGTGAATTTCTTTGGAAATGACTTCACATGTTTAAAGTTTTTGGTTTTAAAAACTACCCTGGCTCTTCTAACTTCAGTATTAAAGCTTAATAGCGTATTATGATCACTAGAGGGTGCTATAACCCAGGAAACATGTGCTTCCTTCCCTACTTCTACAATTTTCTTTGCTCTCATAATGCTGCCCTTTTTATTTTACAGTAGCAGCCGTTCAAAATGGCCCTTCCCAGTCAAACACCAGCCCACTTACCTGCAAGTTCCAGCAAAATCCCCTCCAACTTCCAGCCACTGCAGTACGGAAGAGGATTAGGGCCACTGAAAAAAAAAAAGTTAACTGATTTTTAAATTTTATTTCAGTTTAATATGGGAAAAAAGTCAGAATTCTGACTTTTTTCTCAGAATTCTGACAGCTAACAAACATGTTAGCATCAAGCCATAGCCATGTCTGTTTTAGAGACTAGCCCTCTTGTTTTAATGACCTTCTGCTCCTCCATTAATGAGGGGACCCCTCGGGCACGTAAAAAGTTGCCTAATTCCGTCATTTTCCACCAATGTTTCACTGGCCACCTCAAATAACTCACATCTTTGTCAGTGAAGCTGAGTGCTCCCACATCTCTTCCTTAATGGTGCCCATCTACATTAAGATCCAAAATTTTGAGATTAAAGTCAGAATTTTAAGAAAAAAAGTCAGAATTCTGAGAAAAAAGTCAGAATTTTGACTTTTTTCCCATACTAAACTGGAATTAAATTTAAAAATCAGTTAACTTTTTTTTTTTCCCAGTGGCCCTAATCCTCTTCTGTACTGCAGTGACCCCGTCTTGCATATTTTTTTTACTCTGACTCCACTTTGACTGAATTACAGGGTCTGACCAGTAGACGACGCTTCTCTTTAGATCTTAATGTCCACAAATATTGACAAAAATTATATTTTAGTGCAAGTATTGATGTTTAAAAAGGAATTGAATGAGACCAGCCAAGGACCCATCAATGAAAATGGGGAAATTGTGAATGGCTGCTACTGTATTTCCAACACATTAATACAGAACAAATTTTTAAAAAAATTGATTAGTTGAGCCAGTTTTTCTCTTTAGGCTCATCCTGTTTGGATCTTCCTGTGTTTCAGTGTTGGTGTACTTCGGAAGCCGGCGTGAGAGGGAAAGCTGGCGCTGGGCGTGGGTCATCAGCACCCGTCTGGCCCGTCAGATCGGCTACATGGAGCTGCTGCTCAAACTGATGTTTGTCAACCCGCTGGAGCTTCCTGAGCAGACGACCCGGGCCCTGCCTGTCAGGTGATCGGCTCAGAAACACGCAGTTTGAGGCTCCCTCAGCTGTCCCGTTTCATGAATAAATAAAAGTGTTTGCAGGCCCGGTAATACGTTTTAAAACATTCACTCCAAACAGAGCAGTAAGTTTGGAAAAAAGGTGTCAGAAAAAGCAGCAGCGACGGCTGAATCAGACTGCTTCGGATTAAACACTAAATAAACAACAGCTGGTTAAATGATTTCTACTCAAACACTCAGAAAAATGTAGAATCCATAAAAATCCGAATCTTTAAGGTTATTGATTTGATGCTAACTATTTAATCTGTAATGAAATTCATTTGATTTGTGTTAAAAACCTAACGATCTTCTTCTCCTTCCTCTCAGGTTCCTGTTCACCGACTATAACCGCCTGTCCAGCGTTGGCGGGGAGACCTCCCTGGCTGAGATGATCGCCACGCTGTCGGACGCCTGTGAGAGGGAGTTCGGCTTCCTGGCCACCAGGTTGTTCAGGGTCTTCATGAACGATGAGATCAAAGGTAACCATCGCGTCTTAGTCGCAACAGCAAAACTCAGATTATATTGAAGATTAACGGAGTAAAGGAGGGAGTTCTTCTTTAACCGGATCAATATCGCTTCTCTTTCCTGTGGATCGTAAACCTAAAATATTCTACATTTTGTGGTTGTCAGGGTTATAAAATGGTTCTTTTCATCCCTCTGTCTAATATTATGGTCTGCAATCTGACTCCTCAGGTCAGAAATGGAAGAAAACGTGTTGCCTTCCTTCCTTTGTGGTGTTTTCTCTGACGCTGATTTGCCTGATCAGCGGAGTGGTACTGTTGGCCATCTTTAAGGTAA